AATCTATTATTTTTTTAAATGATATAAATACTTTTAATTTTATAAATATACTTTATACTAGTCTACTGTTTGTATAGTAGGTAATATAAAAAGAAATTTACATAATAATTTATTGTTGTACTTCATCTTTATATAAAATACAACTAAAGATTTAATGCATTACTCCATATTATATTTTTAATTATATTATGCCAAAATAAATGGTCTATCTCGTATAATACCTTTACTCTTACCTATAAAATAAAAGCGTTCTTATTTTAAAAAAAAAAATTAATTATTTAAATTTAATGTGTTATCTTTATGATCCGAAACTGCAGTAAAAAAAAGGGTTATCCAACATTTATTCAACGGGTTGTCATAACATCCATTTATTTGGTAAATAGCATACTACACGTACCTACTCGTAGATATTTGTAGATATGATTTTCTGGGTAGATAGCATACGACACTTGTGCCGATATTTCTAGAAAAAAAACTAAAAAAAAATGAAAATGTCCCTAAACAGTTCAAAATAAATCAAAATATTTTGAAAATGTTATCGTGTATAGAAAAGGCAAATTTAAACAACCAGTCAAAATTTCATGTTCCTACAGTCATTTGTTTTAAAGTTACACCAAAAACCAAAGTCGATTTTGTCAAAAACCTATTTTGCGTATAAAAATTCCCGTTTTTCCTTCATTTTTATGTTGTTTTTCCCGGCGCTTGTGAAAACTATTGGGAATTTTAAATTTTGACCTCCCCAATGCACCAACGATATTCACTTTCCAATCGAACAAGATACTGAAGTCGAAAATCGAAGCATTATTTCGACTACTTATCGTGTACAGATAAAAAAAAAAACCATACACACATCATTGTAAAATTACCTACCTTCCTTTTCTGTACATTAAAATATTTAAAAATTTAGAAGTCATAAATTCGATTTAAGAATTTTTTTTTCTTTTCACCTCATTGTCATCCAGGTTATTGGTATAAATTTAAAATAATGAAATTTTGCTGACCATGGTTAATACTGCAGTGATCTTGCTGTACTAGTAGATTTTATTCTAAATGGTTGTGTTATTAAGTAATAGTCAATAGACAATAGTGTATTATGTAATTTAATAATTATTGGTAGAGGAACCTATGTATAGACATGCAATATTAAATATACTTAGTAATAACAGGTTATTCAAAAAACATAAAAAAAAATTGTTTTCCGTGACTTTTTATCTACGTTTGCACGTCAGTCTGAGAGAGAAAACAAATATTGGGCTAGCTGACATCCTATTGATAATTTGTGTTTATTTAATGCTCATGATTTATTTAATGATATATAGTTTATACATTATACCCTTTGCACAGTATCATTTCATCAAAATAAATTATTTATTAATTCATCAATTATAAATTAAAATACATTTGGTACCTATTTATTGTTTTAAAATCTGAAATCAACTACATCCACCATCTAGCTCATGTGATAAGTACTTTCCCCCCTATAATGCAATATACTGGCCTGATTTTTAATGTAATTTTTTTTCTGTTTAACAGTATTTATAGTAGTAATTTTAGATTCTGAGCGGAGCGATGAATGTATTGGATTTACAATGATGTATGTTTTTATATTTTTTTATTTTTATATTTTTATATTTTTATATTTTTTTTGTGTCTGTCATCACGTTTTAGGACAGTAAAAGTGTTTGGATTTTCTTCAACACTAGCTTTTCTGATAGGAAAGTGAATCTAGTTGGTACTTTGGGGGGGTCAAATGTAAAAATTTCCCAGTAGTTTTCACAAGCGCCGCCAAAAACAACATAAAAATTAAGGAAAAACGGGAATTTTTACGCAAAATCGGTTTTCCAAAAAATCGATTTTGGTTTTTGGTGTAACTCTAAAAGAAATGAACGTATATACATGAAATTTTCACTGGTTGTTTATATTTGCATTTTATATACACGATAACGTTTTCAAAATATTTTGATTTATTTAGCGATTTCTTTATTTTGTTGCAAATTGCAATTCAAAAACGAACAACTGTAGATACATGAAAATTTCACTGAATGTTTAAATTAGCATTTTCTATACACCATACAATTTTGAAAATATTTTGACTCTTTTTGAGCTGTTTATGGACATTTACAGCTTTCAATTTTTTTTAGTTTTTTTTTCTATAAATATCAATAAAGTTTTATCTGTTGTTCCAAAAAGTGTAAAAATTTAATACAAGGCTCCTGATATATTGTTACAATAGCAGTTGAAAAATATTAAAAATACATAGGCACAGTTTTTTTTTATAAGCATTTAAAGATCAAATTTTGACAAAATGTATCAAAATCTCGAAAATTATCAATCATTGTAATTAATAAATTATAAAATGTTCAGTTTTTATAGCTAAGGATTACAAATTCAACACAAAGGTTCTCATAAATAGTTCATACTATAACCAAAAAATCTAAAAAATATATGAACACACTTATTTTTTACAGACATTTTAAATTCAAATTTGGATGAAATTACATATTAAAAAACCTAGAATAACTATTTTAGTTATTTTGTTGTGATTGAATAATATTATTCGTGGGTACTTGAAACTTCTAAAGTGTACTATTATATATCTATGATAGTATCACGGTTTTTGTTGATGTATAACGCATTAACGCGTTATAAGTATCTAATGGATACCTATTGTGATATGATTAATTTGGAATTTATTATAGGTACCTACCTATTATAGGTCAATTTTTTGTTTAATATACCATAGATATGTATATAATATGTCTTATACATAGACTGACATACCGTCTTCGCTCAGAATCGTTTTTCTTATACAATGATATTATATCATTGAATTCAAATTTAATACCATCCATTATACAGTGACCCACTTGTAACCTACTGTACAGCAGAGCGACACCCACTTGCCCACCTTTTTGATTCTGGCTTCCTCGCCGGTCTATAAGTATATTACCACTGGTCATTTTATAAGAATTTATACAATTTGTCTCAAATTTTTAAAAAGAGTTACCTAACTAAAACCTTCATTTTTCTTTAGGTAGCCCATTTAATTTTATTTAATTTTAAATTAAAAATAATGAATATAATATGTTATATACAAATTAAATTTTTTTTCGCATGCCTATATTATACAAACTTAGGTGGGTGCGTGGGGGGGGGGGTTACCTAATGAAATGAAAAATGAAACATTAAAAATTGTTCAATTTACTTATTATTCAACTATTTTCAATAGTTTTTGTTTGAAAAGATGAATCTTATATTTACCTACAAATATAACTACTCATTTAACACTAAAAGTCATGTTTTTTTTATATAAAGTAAGTACTTATTATGGAACTTTTTTGAAAAAGAATAAAAATATTTGTCATGTTATAATAGGTTCTTATTTAAAGGTAAACTGGTAACATTATTGAATGGAACAAAGAAGCTAAAACAACTAATTTTCTATTTTAATTTGAAAACTAGTGTACATTTAATATCTTTATAATTAATTAATATTTGTAACTAGCGGACACAGAATGATCAAATTTCTCTCCGTCTCATCTACAATGAAGAATATAAATAATATTGTTACTAAATATTAAACCAAAAAGTAAAATGTAATTTATTGACTCACTTTATGTATAAACATGCCTATTAAGAGTTAAACATCATCTCTATATACAAAATACTAATATATTTTTTTTTGGTAAATACATTTGTACATTAAATTTTCAAATTTGAATATGAAAATACATTTTAAGACATGCAGTAGGGTAGATTTTGTAAATGTTCATGTCGGTTCATTTGTCTCATTGCATAGAACAATGCGTAGACGTAGACATCGAATTCATCCAGTCACTCCTCAGTCTATGACTGAATTCCATTTACAATTAACAGGAAAATATGCACACTTGTCTATGATACAAAATGAATCAATATACTCTGGCATTGTCGGTGTAACTTTAGAAGGAGGAACCACTTTACTTTTCATTTTGCCTGGAATCAGAAAGTATATAACTATAAAATATAATAAAGTTTATTTCAAATAAATAATAATTACACATAGGCACTGTCTTATTATACAATTAATTTAGTTTACTTAGGACAGGCTCAAATTTTTTGTTGGATGGCACATTTTCTAGTTCACCAAGTTTTGAAAATGAATTCCACCAACTATATGTCATAATGAGTATAAGTATAACATTTAATACTGTAAGTTTTGTATGTAATTTGTAACTAAATAATATTAAATTAGAAAATAAATATTTTACTTATTAGATTATTTTACTTTTTTTTTTAAATCTATTTATAAAAATATTTTTTTCAGGGATTTCCTATAGGTTTTTGCATTGATGTCGAGGAAAACGGAAAAGGGCATACACGGCGCTTTTAAATAAGATTTTAAGCATAGTACCAGAGTGGGCAACCTCAAACCATAATAGTTGATTTTGAAAGGGCAGCTATTGCTGCTCTAAGAACAATGTTTCCAAATACCACTATTAGAGGCTGTTGGTTTCATTCCTCCGGTATGGAGAAAAGTTGCAAACATAGGTAAGATTACTCTAAAATCTGAATTTGCAATTAATAATAAATTAAATGTATAGTCAATTACTGGTATAGTAACACTGGTTAATATTTAGGATTGATTGAAATATGTAGTAACCATTGAGGAGCCTATGACACTGTGCATATGTTGATGGCATTGCCTTTGCTGCCAACAAATTGTATAGCTGAAGGTTTTGAAACTGTAAGGGCATAATGTGCAATCATTGATTACCAATAATAATGATTACAATTTTACATTATTATTTGAATATTATAGATCAACATGGCTTGCAGGTCTGGAAAATACAAAATAATAGTTTTAATATAATATTTTTTGTTCATACAACTAAACAAATTTATAAGTTATAACTAACCCAACACTATTTTCAATAGGAATAAATGCAGATATATTGTCGGTGAGTGACACAGTTTGGCGAACCAACAATGTTTTGGAATTAAGGCACAGACATCTCCAGATGCACATGCAAAATTGGCACAATCCTGAGCCATGGGTGTTTTTGAGTAATTATATTTTTATTTATTTAACACTAGAAAAGGAATATATCAGTATTTTATATTTACAGAGGGGCTAATTACTTACTCGAATGGTGTTTTGAACGATTATAATGAGGTTACTGATGGTGGACAAGTAAGAGAACCGCAAGTTTGGATAGATCAGCAAAGGAATTTAGATAGATCATTGAGGCTGTTTATAGAAGGACGCTACTCAATGTCAGAATTTTTAATATGTGCTAGGCATTCAACACCAACTTTTGGTGTAATACAGCCTCAACACCAAGCTATTGTAATACTTCCTGCAGCTGTCTTTCCACAAGCTCCACTAGCTTTATTACTACTCCCCATTGATCAGCATCAGGAAATGCAACTTCCAGCTATTCCTGTGCTCCCTGCTACTGCTTTACCACAGGCACCACTACAAGAAGCACCAGCTTTATTACCACTGCAAGTTGATCAGCATCAGGAACTGATTTTCGATGAAATAATGAGAAGGATTTTACCACGTAGACCAGCAGTGCCCGTTCCTCGAGATCGTATGATTTTTCATTATAATATTACTTATACAGATTTCCAATAAAATATAATAATAAATAAATCGCTTGTCTTTAGTTTTTTATAATCTCGATGCTGAGGCCGTTTATTCAGATGAAGATGTGTCTAATGAACAGTCTGTGATACCATCAGTTATTCACATTGAACGTGTAGATTTGAGAAGTAAGTAGTAATTATCTGAAATTTGTTTCTAGCTAAAGTAATTGATTAAAAATAATGATGTTTTATTATTTTAAAGTTGTACCCATAGTAGAGGAAACATGTTACATATGTTTGTACAGTCCACCAACAGTAGTATCGTATCCATGCTTACACCAAGGTCTATGTGGAGCTTGTCATGATAGCTATTCAAGAATGCATCCGAATGAGCACGGGCCATATTATCGCTGTCCACTTTGTAGAGTTGGAATAGAAATCTACTATATATTAACATGACAATTATAATTAGTTATTTATCTTATCAGTTAAATATCAACTAGCCATAAACCTACTTTCACTCTTTTATTTTTTAAAAAATTAAACAAAATTAAACTAATTTTCTTGGTATGACATACATTTCAACCTAACTTGGGTTTTGACTCTTTTGAGGAAGTCTAACACAGTTTCTTGATGATATATCATATTCATATAAGTAACATATTATAGGTATACTGCAAGTACCTACATTGAAATTAAAATTGTTACCAATTATGTGTTCATTATCAATTGTGAATATAATCAGATGTGATTACATATAATTTACAAATACTCGGTCCATATAATATCTATGTCTATATATCTACTATACTGTATCACTGTTACTACTTACTACAAGTTACAACAGTCCACTAGTCAACCTAATAATAGTTATTAAGAAGTTTTTAGTTAAATTATAGTAATTATTAGGTAGGTATTAAAATTAAAATGCAAAACTTACTTTTGAAATGACTGAAATAAATGATTACAGTCTATAAGTCGACATTACAATATAAAAGGTATTATTTAGCAGTAAGTTTCCGTTATAAAAGATTATGTTATAATTTACAATAGGATTATTTACCTACTTACATGTCGCATTGTCACCGTTTTATTTCCTACGGGCAGATGAGACCAGTACGTTGAAGGCTTGGAATAAGTTCACGTTCACACTCATTTTGTTAAAATGGAACTACTTAAATTCAGCTAGTTCCCGTTAAAGAAAAGAACAAGTTCTTTTCCTCATTCCCAAATAAAGAACATTTTTCGTGCCTCAATCAATTTAAAATCGTATTAAAATAATAATAAAAATAAAATAATTAGGTTCTGTTTTTAAAATGTAGTTTGTTTATTTAATACAATACATATAGGTAGGACCGATAAGAACACCCAGACTGACTTGACATTTTGTGAACATAGTCAATATCAATATATCATCATAGGATAGTAGGTAGTCTACAGTCGTGGTCAGTGAGACCGTTATAATTTGTCGTAACTCGTGAAATCATAAATAATATGACCATGACGAAAAAACTTACCTCGACACTTCGTCATGATATCATGTCCTACAATGAGAATTGAGAAAACCTTAGAAAATAATATTATAGTATTATACAGCCTATGAACTAAATAAATTGAAATAAATTAGTGATAGGTTGTGTATAAGAGATAACGGTTGTTATTTGGAGGTAAGATTATAAATTGTTACCTCCAACGTGTATTCATCGGTTTCAGATAAAAACAGTTTAAACGAATGGATCTCAGCAGGAAAGAATTTCTCGGTTTGGTTCAAGTCCGCGCAAACGTCACGTGCCCGGTTGCTATAAAAGTAACAATAGTTTAGGTATCAAAGCGCCAAACACTTATGCACTTTGATACGGTGCGCAACCGACGACCAGTGCGAAGTACCTAAAGTATCTGCACTTCACAAACCGCAACCACGGGCTACGAGCGCGACATCGCCAACTCTCCCACCACGCAGCAATGGCAAGGCGGGACGGGGAGGCAAGTCGCGTGGAGCGAGTACCGACTACCGGCAGCCGGTGGCGTACCTCTCGTACGTAAAATTTTTTTTTTGTCATGCGTCGACCGTCTCGCCGACAACAATTGAAAGGCTCGTCCACACTATGCCATATGGCTTTGCCAAATGGCATTGCCAAGGGTGATGTGGACTTTTTGTTGGCACAGGCCATTTGGCAAAGTTTTGCCAACTGGCATGCCAAGCCGTATCCGTCGACTGTCGGTCAGGATCAAAGAAAGCCAAATGGCAAAATGAATATATGGCATATATCGGCATAGTGTGGACGCGCCTGAACAATACTCTTAACCGCCGACCGGGTATCCGAGTTACCGACTACGCCGATACCGACCGTCTATTCGTCTCGACTTTGGTAAAAACAGATGATAAAAGTGTAAAATAACTCTCTTGTCTTTACACACAAATAAATAGCCAGGCACTCCGTAATCGAACTGGTGTTGCGTTCTCTTTGATTTGGTTTCCTCTCTCTCCTTTGTGAGCGTCAACACCGTCACCAACACTCTACGACCGGCTTACCGCGGGGACACCACTCAATCGCAGCCGTAGCCGCGTCAAATTGGCTCCCCGCTGAGGATATCTCCCCGAGTCACCCCCTCAAGACAGCGAAAGAGGTAAGAGTTTTCACTCTAACACATTATACCTAGGTATATTTGCTTTAGGTATTACATTAGTATCAAGATATTTAACCAGGAGTGTGTCTACCGGTAAGCTAGGATCCCCGACATTGCATTACGTAAGAACTATTTTAGTACACAAGGGGGAAATCCGCTCAACCGAGTGTAATCCTGTATTCCTGATACGGCCGTGGGAAGCAATTACATAACGTACCGCTACCCCGCCGCAACGCCTACCACTCTCAGTTAAGGTACGGATTCCCTGCAGCGTCAGACGCGAGAACAGCATTGTAAGGGTAATACGTTTTTATTATGTTTTAATTATAAAGATATTTATATTTATTATACTATACAAGTGCGCATATTAATATTATATAATAATATATATATATCTGTATAATAATTTTATTCTTTTAAAAGAAAGAAAACTTTAATCATTTATTTTTTGGTTATATTGATAAAATTTTGAGCATAATATTGTCATCAATATTATAATAGCCATAGGCGTGCGCACGGGGCAAGCCGGTCAAGCCCAGGCTCGACCTGAAACTTTTTATGGTAAAATGTGCGTATATATTTAAATATTTTATTATAATGCTTATATTATAATAATATGTTCGTGGAGATCATGAACATTTTGTTTGTCGTGAAAGTATAAATCGACTTCACAAATCAAAAATATTTGTGTGTACCGAGTACTACCGACCACTACATATATTTAAATTTTAAACATTTTATTAATCTAACAAAAACATTATAGGTACCTTTATACAAATACAATAACTATAGTACTATAGACATTAATAGGTTAATACATCAACATGTATGTTGGTGTGTTAAAAAAAAATTAGGGGCGCTGTCCAAATATTAGGGCACTACAATTGCCTAGGCTCGACCAGAAATTTGAGTCTGCGCACGCCTATGATAATAGCTTATACGTTTTTATATTGTTTTAATTGAAAAGTAATTTATATATTGTATTATATGAGTGCATATTAATAATATTATATTGTATATTTATATATTATTATCTATTATTTTCATTGAATTCTTAAACTCCAGTGGTAAAAGTTAATAAGTTTTTATTTTGTTTTCATTATAAAGATTTTTATATATATTATAATATACAAGTGCACATATTAATGGTATATAATAATATATACATATTATGTATAATAATTTTATTCTTTTAAAAGAAAGAAAACTTTAATCATTTAATTTTTGGTTTTATTGATAAAATTATATTGTTTTAGAACACACTTTTTATTTGAGCATAATATTGTCATCAATATTATAATAGCTTATACGTTTTTTATATTGTTTTAATTGAAAAGTAGGTAATTTATATATTATAATATAATGTGTGCATATTTTTAATATTATATAGTATATTTATATATTATTATCTATTAATTTCATTTAATTCTTAAACTCGAGTTGTAAGAGTTAATAAGTTTTTATTTTGTTTTAATTATAAAGATATTTTTATTTATTATACTATACAAGTGCGCATATTAATTTTATATAATAATATATACATATTATGTATAATAATTTTATTCTTTGAAAGAAAGAAATTAGTAATCATTTATGTTTTGGTTTTATTAGGAGCTAGTAATATATAAAGATACAACGCGGGGACAAAACTCAAAGCAGAGACACTAAGAGTGAGCAGCGCAGCCTGTGGCAGTTCAATCGTGCCACTCATTTCGGGTCGTTTTTTTATGCGTACGAGTTTCATGGTCTCCCCATTCAATTATTCCCGGTATACCAATATTTAATTAGTAAAACCTAACGGGGTCGTGGTATATACAACAACAAATAACCTAAAAAAAAGGGCTCGATCCTTTGTCCGACGTTACCGGCACGGCGGCACATCGCACGTCAGTCCGAACGCGTTCATTTCGCTTTCACGGTTCTCTCCGCCTAGACGCCAAGTGCCCGTCTCGGCGTCTCCTGCCGTTCACTGTTTTGGATTTTAGTTCTGCCATTGTGATCCGACCGGGGTAGTCGTCTTACAACCGATTGTTGTATCACGACTTCCTTGGTCGGGGCGGTTTCCGGGAATGCCAGGATCAAAAGTCAAAACCAAGTAAGTCTGTCTTTTATATTGGCATTCATTTCCGTGTCGCCGTCGACAACACGTTTTTTTTCTTTATTATTTTACCGTCGTCTCAATAACGTACCTAATCATATATTGCGTTCTCGCACTTGAGGGACGTCAGCGCACTGTTTGTGTTTTCTCTGAGCAGATTAGATCTCTAATGAGGAAAATCACCCGTTACAAAAGTTATGGAGAGTAATATTTTTGATGCTATGACGTCGCATCGATTTCGTGTCGAATATAAAGTCAAATAATATTAAAATATAAAATCGATACGTGTCAAACCTGGAAACGTCAAAAACCGCATGAAAAACGATTTTCGGCGTAAGCGTTTTATCTCGTGTTGGTCTGACGGAGAACAAATAATAATGCGCTGACATCCCCGTGTCGGAATTTCCTATCAATATAATATTAATATCGTTTAAAGTATTGTATCCCTTACAACGTATTAATTGTTTATTTGTTTGCAGTATTCGCGTGACTTGTATCGATCAATCGTGGGCCGAATAGAATATTGAAGATGGCCGCCAAACCGCAGGCCGTCGCAACGCACTCGCTCTGGAAATCCTTAGTACAATCTACTCCGACGAACCTCTGAATAAACTTCTGCTGCAGTAATTCAATATCATGTACATTTGATTGTTGTCTATGAACTATTGAGCTAGACGGCTATGTTAACGGTAATTTAATTCTGCACACACCCGTTTTCATGAGCGTACTGCAG